TGCCTTGATAGTCGAAGCAGACTTTGTGCTGTTGAGGCTAGAGAGGTGAGCAGAGTAAGTCTGATTCCCCGTTTCGGCTTCTCTGTTGACAACCACCCCTTGACGCTCATTTGACCTTATGTAGTTGTGAGCGCCGTAAAACCTTACTACAACAGAAAGGACCAGGACCAACTTGCGGGGAAAACAGGAACTGATTGGTGACAAGGAAAGACAACAACAACAACACCATCAACAAATAAGAACAACAAAACCATGTATCAGGCGAGAGTATCCGAGTAGAGAAATAGATGAGTGGTGGCGAGCACAGATCGCCTATGTCCGTTTTGGTTTTGGACACTTCCTCCTGTTGTTTCTTCATTACGTGGTTGTCGGCGTCATTTCCGGCAGGCTTAAACAGGATTCTTGTGGCCATTGATGTTTCTGATTCACTCACTTCCCCTGTGTTATATCACAGCTTAACGACAATCTGTGCTGTCCAAGTCATCGTGATCTAAACTGTGTTGACGAAGGGAGTCTAAATACATCCATACAAACCCCCAAACAACAAACAACAATAACAACAACAACAACAGTAATAACAACAACAACAACATTAATAACAACAACAACAACAACATTAATAATAACAACAACAACAACAACAACAACAACAACAACAACAACAACAACAACAACAACAACAACAACATCAGTAACAGCAACAACAGCAATAACAATAATAACAACATCAGTAACAACAACAACATCATTAACAACAACAACAATAACAAAAGCAACAGCAACAACAACTACTGCAACAACAAAAACATCAACAACAACAACAACTACAACAACAACTACAACAACAAAAACATCAACAACAACAACAACAACAACAACTACAACAACAACAACAACAAAAACATCAACAACAACTACAGCAGCAGCAGCCAGAAGAAAGCACAACACAAAGCCGCTCCCACAGTTCCCTGACCTAGTACTCAGAGATGGCAATAATTCATGACCTGACTATAGCATTAGAAATGCGACGTCTTCCAATTCTAAACACGTCCTTTCACCTTGACCCCTCACTCTCTCCGACCTTGACCTCTTTGTCACTGACCCACCAATCGCCAGCAGGCCCATCTCTCTAAAAGCTGCTGTCAACAGTTGACAAGATAGCAAATGTTTTGGGAAATGTTCGTGTTTTATCATATTACAAGCCTGTACATTTTGACAACTATTTAATACAGTGACAAAGTAAGTAACATTGTGGAAAAGGCCGG